TATATATATATATATATATATATATAGAAAATATTGGTATACTGTATTGCAAGAACGAATAAAAAGTGAGTTCCAAAAATTATTTTCTAGACTTCTAAATATATTTTGTTAAATTATGAATATACATTTGTGTCTTCCAATAAGACTCTTATTAAAATTTTTGTCCAGAAAATAGTTGATTTAAATTTATTTTGAATATCTAAATAAGCTTCTATAAAATTTTATTGAAATCAATTTCCTGTTCACACCTTTCGTTTTCTTATTTGCAATTCATCATATCAGCTATACTTATCATATTTTTTTAATGATAACAACCGTGATAATAAATTTCATACCAAATAGAATTTTTGTTAAATGTTGCATCATTTTGATAAAAATTAATCTTACTGATCATGATTCAATCAAATATTTGATGAGTAATTTCATTGAATGAATCATGAAGATATGGTCAACTGAATAATGAAATTTAATTATAACATGCATGCAATTACCGATTTCATTAAAGTTTTTAAACAACAGAGGCGGAACACGTTCCAATTTATTAATATGCGACCTGAATCAAACGATTATGGTAAATATAGCTGGTCCCGGAACCAACCACTGGATTTTAGGTAGACAAGAATGTGCACGAAGAATTGTCGACATGGTAAACAAAGTAAGTGATATATAATATAATTTTGAACTAATTAACTCAATTTTTTATAACCATGTGTCTCCCTTTAAGGGTAAAGAAGAAGCAAAAATCAATCAAAATCAACCATTAGCTTGTCTGAGTTTATGTCTCAGTGGTTGTGAAGAAAAAGAATCAAATGATTTGCTAGAAAAAGAAATACGAAGTTTGTGCCCCCAGCTTATGGAGCTTTGCGTAATTCACAGCGATACATTTGGAAGTATATCTGCTGCTACTGATGCAGGAGGCATGGTTTTGATATCAGGTAATTAACTAATATCAAGAAAACCAAGCGAATTCATATTATATATGATTATTCCATATTTGAACATCATCCATTTATTCTTGGAAGTCTGTTATCCACCTGAAAATATGGAATCTCTTTTTGGAATTGCATTCATAAGTTATGATGTATTCCTGGAAATAAATGCAAGCAATCAATATACATCAGGCACTTGCCAAAAATTTTTAGATTCTTCAAATATTGATTAAAAGTTTCAGAACTTGCATCGGAATAAAGTTCTTAATTCATAGTAATAAGGATTTGCATTAACAAATATGCCATTTACAGAAAAAATTAAGAATTGACAGAGATAATGAATATGAATGATACATGAAAAGTATCGAGAAATCAGCAAATAGCTAAGAATGTGGGACATTAAATACTTGGTAAACTTACATGATAATTTACTTTCGACAGGATCATAAGCATTTTCCTGTTCAATATGAATATCTATACATCATAGTAAATATCAAGGTAAAATGTAAAGGTAATTGCAGTGCATTACAATCATTCCAGTATACATCTAGGCAGTCGAATCAAAAGCTATTTTAAAATGCATTTTCCAGAATTACCTGAACAAAATATTTGCATTATTTAATTATCACATTGGTGATGTTGCATATGATTAACTAGTCGTATTATGATAAGAACCCAATACCATTATTGGGAAGGTCCTATATTCAGCAATACTATTGTACAAGACATTGTACAAAGTAGTACAAACTTTAATTGCCATGTTTTAATTATGTGTACATCTGATATAGATTAACAACAACTTGTTGAATAAACCTATATCCATACATAAAAGACAAATTAGTAGTAGATTTAGTATTTAACTAAGACTCATTTAACAAAATTTCAATAAGAGGATCGCCATATTTTTTGTCAACTTATTAGATGACTGCGGACAAGAATAGCGAATTGTTTAAATGTTTATAAAGCAAAAGAAACACATTTATTTAATAGATATACTGTATATGCCAATCAAGCAAATGTCAAAAATTATTAAAGAATATTATAATTTTGCACTAACCTGTATTAAGCACATGCCATTGTTTACTTCCATTCCATGACCGAATTTAATAACGTCATTTTTAACTATTTTACAACGTAACTAATCAAAACTACTATGTAAATCATTAAGCGCACAATTTAAAAAGATATTTACTACATTTTTGTACTAAATCAACACTGTTTTCGCATTGAAATCATATAAAACACTGGCAGCATGTTAAGGAAGATCATTGCTTTCCGCCATTTTTTTTTAAACAACAAATCGAAACATGATCGAAACCGATCGGGAGCAATTGATATTTTAGATTCATATAAAAAAAACTGTTTAATTGTTTGAACAAATAGTGAATTAATGTCAGTAAATTTTGTAATATAACTTATTCAAATGGCTTATATATTGTTAAATTATGGTTTTGAATAGTATTGCATTACAAACCATTATTGGAAAGATCAAAGAGTGTGGTAGCGGAATTTATCGATATTTTTAATCACCCGTTTTCCTCAAAAAATGTCATATTCATAATTATTTTAACAAATTATATGGAAATCATAATTAAGTATGTATTTAGAACTTGCCCTAATTTATGTTATTGACCTCCACGATTTTAAATTAATTTTGATCAACGGTTCTAATTAACGGTTTCTATGTCGCAATGAAAACTATTGAAATTTGATATAAAACTGATGCAAATGTTATAAAATTACTGAACCATTTATTTATTCAATAATTTATTAAATATTTATTAACAATAGTATCTCTATTTTATAATTTTTTTAACGGATTCATGAGCATAAGGGTCCTCGTAGACGATGATTGTAGTCGTGGAGATAATTGCAAATTCATTTGTTGCAAAATTAATAATTAATATGACTGATGTTATTAATAGATAATAGATTAATAGATAATTATTATAAATTAATAAATATTGTCTATTTGGTATTTGTAATATATTTGATTTTATCATCTTAATAACAGTCATGCAATAATTCTAAGGATGTGGGCAGGACGAGGTTTTTTGTCAAGTGACTATAAATGATTTATATATTAACCCTTTCGACTCGGATGCCGCCGCTCCGGCAGCAAAATACACATACATTTCAGAATTTGCGAGTGGAAAGGATTAATAATAATAAATATTAGTCTGCGTCTGTCCGAAGGCAGGTCCATGGTATGAGAGCACAGTAAATCAACGAATCAATGATTACATTTCTATACTTTTTTATTATTCCCATCAGCGTTAAACTGCCTTTGTTCACTTTTTTATACACTTTCATGCATTTCCCTTTCCTTGCTTCCGCTTCCATACTTCCTCATCCTGCGCTTCAGCTTTCAGTTGTATTTTCTCTTTTTAACAATTTATTAATATCTTCACTTTAAAACTATTTTCATTATATACTTATTTACTTTTTACTTAAAGGTACTGGTTCCAATGGTATTTTACGCAACCCAGATGGAAAACAATACAATTGCGGGGGCTGGGGTCACTTATTAGGCGAGAAAGGAAGTGGTTAGTTTTTTAAGATGTTATTTAATAATAATTTAAATTAATTGTGATATTTTAACAGCCTGGTGGATTAGTAGTACAGCTATTGTGACTGTTATTGATGAACAAGATGAATATTCATCCAGCCCCTATAGTATAAATAATGTTTGGGAGGATATAAAGGAATATTTTAATATTGAACGAAGAGTTGAATTATTGGATCATTTTTATGGAAAGTTTGAGAAGAATAAAATAGCTGGTACACTACACTATACTGATTTAGCTTGGCCATGCCTATAAGTATTTATACAGATTAAATATTTTATTCCCCACAGGGCTTTGTGAAAAGTTATGCGAATCTGCAGATTCAGGAGACGAGTTGAGTAAATCTATTTTCAAAGAAGCTGGACGATCCTTAGGGAGACACGTTACAGCTTTATTGCCAAAGGCGGACCAGAAGCTTTTAGAGGAACCATTGACAGTTGTTTGCGTGGGTTCTGTTTGGAAAAGTTGGAGACATCTAAAACCAGGATTTGTCGAAGTCTTAGAACAATTCAGAGGTGTTGAAAGTCGTTTCGAGTTAAATTTAGTCCAATTGAGAGAAGTTGGAAGTATAGGAGCTCTGTATATTGCGGCTGATGAAATCAAAATGGACATGAAAAAGGATTATAAAAACAATTATAGATCATTTTTCGTATTTTGTAAAAACTGATTAATGATACTTAGATAGAATAAAATTATTTTTATACATTCCTCCTACTAAAATACTTAATTTGTTGATTAATAAATTTATAATAAATATTAAAAATTTGTTAATTGAAATAAAATTTAGGTTATTCATTTCATTCTTTATATTATAAACAAATATTTTTATTTATACATATATATAAGTTCAGATTAGATTATCCAAACGCAACACACTTAAAATTCACTCCAAAATTAGTAAATAAATTGTACATAAGAAATGCACTCACATTCTGGAATTACTTCTAAGCACAGACTATTTAACCCGTTAAGGCACCACATAAAAATAATAATTACATGAATAACTATTTACACAAATCATATAAAAATAAAATAGTGGTGCTTTTAAAATTTGAGCTAATACTTCGCTATTAACTATACATCAATTTACAAAGGCTAATCGCGGTCTGTGCCTTTGAATAATGTAACAAATTCAAGTGATTCACATAAATTATTATAATAATCTAAATATACTAATAACATTATTTCATTGCCTTTTTCAACTATAGTAGATATAAAGATATGTCTTCAATTAAAATTCATAATAAACATATACATAAAAACTCATTATGAAAAATTCTCTTTAACAAAAGATACATTATAACAGTTAAAAATTATTTAACAACTAGTGATGACGTTACTTTAAAACCAGCACAAGTGTAAAAGACCCCAAAATAAACAAATCGGGCAGGATACTTCTAACATCAGACTATAAGTTTCATTTTTCTTCATTGTCAATCAACATAGAAATTTTATTTATAAACTAAACTTTATATTGCATTGATATATACACAGATTTAGTGTCACGTCTCAGCATTAAATTTTTACGCTTTTTTCGCAGACTTTTTGAAGTCCGTGAACAATATTCTCATATCAGCCAAAGCTTTCTCAATTTGTTGTGCAAACTTGTTTGAATTCTGAAGTATTAAAAAGAACATCTTAGGTATAGTTCAATAAACATATAATAATTATTTTATATACCACTTACCGTTTGAGGTGAACTATTTTTACTACTGATATGGAAAAATATCAAATCCTCCCCTGCGATTATATATGAAACTCCATACCCATCATCAGCAACTGGCCCAAAACCACCGCCTGCACTAATACAATTTGGATATTTCTTTAAATCCATTTTGTTTGTCTGTCCATGCGGTGTTTGTGAAGTTGACAAACGCCAAGGCTCACTCAAAACTTCTTTCAGGAAGGGTGAATCTACTTCTAGGTATTTTGAAACTACATACAGACAGAAAAGATGTCGATCTATACCTTTTCCGCACATAGCATCTTGGTAACCAAGTTGGTGCTGCTTGCAAGCTGCATAGAGGAGTTTAACTCTTTCTTCAGTCTAAAGAAAAAAATAATAATTAAATAAAGAATGCATAAATATATAAAAATCCATCACCATGCCTTACAGTTTTAGTTGCGTCTTCCATAGATTTAACCCACGCGGCGGATTCTATAGTACAAGGTCTCACAGTTTCAGTTCTTCCCTCTCTGTATAATCTGGTCATAGAAGCCTCGTACGTCAGACTGAATTTACCAAAATCTCTATAATAAGCTAACTGTAAAGCCATCTGGATGTAGGCATCCGGTGAAACCCTACAGGTCTTCATAAAACCTAAATGATAACAGGTATGTAATACAGTTTTGATAATAATATTGGTTATTGTTGTTATACCTTTTCCATAATTATCGTGGACATATATCCTTAAATCCACATCATTCAATAGGCTCTGGGCTGCCAAATATGATGCTTCTATTGTTTTTTGACACTCGTCACTTTTCAGATCCCATTGAAGACGAACTGGAGTTGGTGGCTCAAAACCAATTTCACCTTTTGTGTTACCATTTGCATCATATCTGAAGAAAATTATATATACATAAGATAATACAAAGTAAATCCGTAAAAAATATAAAAATATTGATACAAAAATTGAGAAAAGTAATAAAATTAAGCTTCAAATTTCTATTTACTGTTGAATTATGCAAATATACTTGTAACAAAATAGCCCTAACCCTCCCCACTTGACTTTTATATTTTGATTATTATTTTAGTATAATTTACTAATTAAAAGCTTATTCAAACCAGAACCTAAGGCTTTTAATATAATTGAAAGCTGAATTAAATTGGGATTGTTTTATTAGTACTAACCAAACCATTTCTGTTAAATACAAATGATAATAAATAATTTTTGAGAAAGTTTTTAGTAAAAGCATAGTAAAGCTTTTATTACTTTGAGCTATATATAATTGTGATTGTAATAATTATTGGCAACAAAAGTTACACCTTATAATCTTTATTAATTAATTAAGTGATCATTCTATTTACCCTTCAACCAACTCATCTCCGATGATGCACTCCCAAAGATGTCCCATGATCGGAGCATCAGCCCTGTGACAAAAACCACAACCGTACTAAATATTTACAATTAATGATTGCAATTGCAACATTGGAAAATCATATTAAATAATACAATATCATCATATAATAAATAATCTGTCGACAGCTACACTACTGCACATCATGCCTAAATTTGCTGCAAATAATAACAATTATAAAAGAGGACTTAAGATGTATTTTGTTGCAAATTTATTAATTATGAATCTGATTGTGATTGGTTTTTATAAATATGCAAAAAATACCTCTACCAAAGCCCTAAAATGATACAAGCAAGACCGTATTCAGAATATTATTGAACTAATAACGCACAACAATTTTAAATAAAATTCAAAGCATAAATAATATAAGATAATATCTCCGCTTACGATCTTTTATATACATGCTATTGATACATGGTGTTTTGTTTCTAAATTATGAACAATATGCTCTTATCAACAAAACATCATATATCATTTATTGGTAACTATTCTAAAACCAAAGAATTCCAAGACCTAGAAAAAATACATAAGTTCATTAATCCATTAAAAGGTGCCAGACATAAAAATGAGGTGAGCAGTGCAAATAGACTTCTACTTTTTGGAATTTTTCAATGTTTTAATTACCCTTCGGACATCATGGCTTCCTCTGTAATGACAAGTTCCCAAATATGTGAAAGTACAGCTGCGTCGGCCCTATAAAATTTTATTCAGGCAAAACATTTGTTTTAATTAGTCATAATTTACTCACAAATATATTTAAACAAAGACTGTTAGAGAAACTTATTTCTTATACTTACAAATATCCAACGGCTTATTTTATTTCGAGCAAACTATTTTATAAAGTTCTAAACATCTATCATGACACTATAATCTAGTGACTGATGATTGTGAAAATTTGGAATAAAGTTTTACTTATTTTCCGTGACCATGCTGGACAAGGTTTGATAAACAAAATAAGCTCGTGATATCTAAATATCGTATCAGTGATAAACATAATGGCATAAACAAACCTATACTGCCTGGACTGAATATAAAATTCATATCATAGAAATAGTATCCACAAAATTGTCATTCAATAATCCAGTCCAGAAATATAGATTTATAATTGCATATACAATGTGCATTACATAAACTAACAATTCAAATTATAAGAAATTAACTAAAATAGAACATACCATGTGTGCTCAGCATTAAATCCAACCTGAAACATTACAAATAATTAATTTCACATGAATTGTAATTATAAAAAATCTGATTATATTCACATACCCGTCCATTGCTTCCAATACATAATGTGAATGATTTATCAAACCATCTGTTATGCCCATTTCCATGCAGCAATATCCTTCCATACCTGTCCAGTTTCTCTGGTTGTTTCTGATCAAATTCATAAGGCTCATCATCTAAAGCGACTACAAAAGCAGACTTCTCTATTAAATCTAAAGATACCTGATAAAACAATCAGAAATTTAAATTTGCTTTAATATAAAATTAGAGTTTGCAATGATTATTTACTTTATTAGGTCCTTTACTAAATAATTTCATTCTTGCATTCGCCCAATGTGTTCTATCTCCTGCCGTAAGTGCAGCAACTCTTTCCTCACCAGGAAGAGCCTCTGATTTATCAGCTAAAATTTGTTCTATTTGTCTAAAAGTAAAGTAGGATAATGAATTTCAGCATGGTATAAATATTAAAAATTAATTATTCTTACACTTGTATTTCACATGCATTCAGAATTCTGCCTTTGTGATAAATCATAACTTTGAAATAACGCCCTTTGTGATAGACAACAATGTGATTGCTGTCTGCATAGTGGACAATACGATCAGTTTCCACTCCTGGCTGACGAACCGTGTTGAAAATACGTTCATATTGCCATGAACACAAAGGAACAATGCCCTGGACCATTATCTGGAAATAAATAATAGACTGAGTCTAAGAACTAGACTAAAATTTAGACTAAAACATGTAGCAAAGTTTGAAAAAAAAAATAAATAGTGTAAAATATTTATAACAGGTTATTTCCTGAACAAATAGTGACCTACAGGTTCCAACTCTTGTCTCTCAACCAGCCTTCTCAATTTCAAACAGAGCGAAATTACTTGTGCAGCCCTCGCAGCCTGCACTTGTGTTGGATGCATCATGATAGCATCAATTCCATAGAAATTAGAATTCACCATTAAGGCTCCTCTCCCTCTCAAATAAACATATTCCTCCCACCAATCTGAGACATAGTTGCTCGACCACCAGGATTTCAGAAGGAGATATCTTTGCAGTTTCACTGCAATGCCTTTTTTGAATTCTTCAGTCAGACCTTCCATGCGCTTGTAACTGGCATCATCCAATAAGGGACGGACACTTCTAAGATACTAAAAAGAAACACAGCACAGTGAAGATTGATCTTAAGAAAATATCAGTTTTTCTCTTACTCTTTTGGTTGTGTCTTCAACCGATGGTAAAGGCAGTCTTGGCAGTGATCCTTGATAACTGTACAATCCTGGTTTGTTCCAACCGGACATGATTTTGACTAGCACAAGCCAAATCTTTGTCTAAAATATTAGTCACAACAATTATAAACCAATGCATATAATAAATACAATGAATTCTTTCAAATGCTTTACCGGTAACGAAACAGAAGTCCCTTTCCCTCTGGCCTCATACATCCATCCTTTGTACATCAGTAACAATTTAAATGTGTATCTTAAAACGAAAATTATAGTTAACCATAGACAAAGTGCCATTATGGCACATCCTGTTAGCTGCCAGCCTGTGGTAGACCTTGAACAATATAAAAGAAGTCACAATACATTTTTCTGAATTAATTTCACTGTCGGTAGATACTATAATTTATTCAACTTACCCTGGTAATAATGGTACAATTTTATTTACAAAATCATACGGCACCCTGTGTCCTGTGAAATGAATCGCTGCAATAATTGTGAAGAATATCCAGAGACTTTCAGTGTGCGCTGGATATACTCCATTGTGTATACTATTCTGTAAAATAAGAAATTAAGAAAATAAAAAACTTGATATATAAATATAAATATTATTATTACTGAAAGATAAATATTGGTGACGGATTTTAATTTCATAATAAATAATAATGCATAATAATTTATTGAGATGTTATAATTATGCCATAAATATATTTTTAAATGTTTTACACATTTATTTTATTATGAATTGATTATTATGTAAATAATTCCGTTATGAAAAAGTATAAACAAAAGTTGTTTAATAAATAAGTTCGTGAACTAATCAACAATAGAAGTCAGCTGGTGTCGACAGGAAAACAATGCCGGTAAGTTCAACAAGTCAAACGATCGAAATTAATCATTCAAAATGAAAACAAAAACGTCATAAGCAGAGTAATGAAAACAATATTTAATTTGGAGAGTTAATAGGAAATAAATAAAGAATAATAAATATATTGCCATATTTTTAGATTATAAAATTTTTTCCGCGGGCTGAGTTCAGTTAATTTTTTGTTATTGGCTGCATTGGCGTCTTAGATGAATTTATGCCAAAGCACCATTTGCCATGAAGTTAGTTGGAATGGTTTGACAGATTATTAATAACTATATACGGCCATTTAATAAACTTTACGTTATTTATATTTCTAATTTATTGTTTATTAATATCTCAATTTAAATCTAAATGAACCAAAGCAAGTTTCAAATTAATGGCTCAAGTGTTTTCAAAAGTCAAGCAATGTTTCATTTATTACTATATATATTATCATTCATATTAAATTTTACTGTGATATCTTACCAAATGTCAACAGGAAGTGTACAAAAAATGAAGCAAATTTTTGGGTATGTTTAGTCTATTAAATTGTTATTCTTCTACGTTATTAAGCCTATTCTTGGATTAGTTTATCCTGCTATCTTACAGTAAAATAAAAAAAAACGTGAATAAAAAAAAATATTTCAATTTTTTTATTAAGATTTTTATATTAGACTGATTCTGGAATCAAAGCAAATTTTATGTTACGATAAGAAAGTAGTAAGAATAAGTAAAAGCTCATTTAAGAATAGGCATATATTTTTCAGATATCGATAAGTTTATTATGAGTATTATATAGAGTACTATGTCATGTATGCTATAAATAACTCGTTTATGCTAATAATAAGTTAGCATAAGTAAGTGCAGATAATAAAGCGACTATTTGTTATTGCATTCAATGAATATAGAAAAACTTCAAATGTTATTAACACTTTACAGGCATGTATCACATAATCGATAAATGCACTTCTTAAAAGAAATATATTCTATATACATTAGAGAAAAAGTTGATGATTTGAATGCTATGACTAGCTAGTACAGTTGGCATAAATGTGTCAACTTAATTTCATTACCAAATTGAATGTGTTAATAAACAAACATGTTTACAAATCTGCAAAACGTAAAATCGTCCTTGAACAATTCGCGATAATTCAATCCGCAAAGATAAAACACGCGATTTAAATTCTTTCGTTTAATTCCTGTTGCGAGGTTATCGACCTAATCGTTTATATATTCATTAATTATATCACCTGTAAATTTTAATTTGTTAATTTAATATAATTAAAATGTTAGACAATTTGTTATAATTAATTGTACAAATTATTCTAACATCATACAATCCTACAACAACTTATTGCACTTTAAAATCACATTTCAAAATACAAAATCAACATATATTTTTTCTATTCTTTGAAAATTATCTTTTTCTATTCTATTGAAAATTATCTAACCAGTTTTATAATCAGATTAATTTATTGCAGATGTGCTTTAGAAATTGCTAACAAACAAAACTGTATATTAGATATATCGATCTTGCCAATTTTCAGTTCAGTTTTCTTTGTCAAATGAGATTAAAATTTTAGTCATTTTGCCCAGCATAATTTGTACATAATTTCATTGCTTTTATCCAAAGTTAGCAATCTGAACTTAGTATACCAAAAGTCAATTTGGTAAATTTGTGTACCAGAAAACATCAATTTGGTAAATTCGTGCATCAAAAGTCACCAAGAATATTGGAAAAAGAATTTTACTAATTCATAGCTGTTGTTAAATTAACATATTAAATGAATCTCAGAAACATGCTTTTCCGCAAATCCCTTTGTTGGTTCCAAACCAAAAACAATACAGATCCAATCTTAATTTCCTTCCCTTACCCTGAATCTGGCCAGCCGCTTCTTCCACGACCTGACACCAGACTCCCAGACCAGGTGAAGAACCTCACGATCAAAATTGACGTCCCATCCCTCGTGGGTGATTGCAAACGAGAAGGCGACAGCCGAATGGGCTTCAGCCATCTCGGTACTATTTGTAGCCTTTCTTTTAGAATTTGTGGATCCTCGTAGGAAATCCTCTTTGGAGGCGAAGAAGTCCTTGAACTTGTCTTTGGTGTCGGTTTCCGACCTCGGATGATGTCTGGAAAAAGGAAGAGATTATGATAAAGATCTACTTTAACTTTTTATAAAAATATATACCAGGAAAAAGTGCTGAATAAAGTGGGAGGAGAAAAAACTTTATTGAGCACGATCATGAAAAGGAAATAAACTGGATCAGATCCATATTGTAAAAATTGTCTGCTGCAAAAATAGAAGGAGTTGAAGGACTAAAAAAATGAATGCAGATGTTTGATGATTTACAAGAGAGGAGAATGTATAGAGAATCAAGTTAGGTAATGTGAATAATAATATTAATACTAATAGCAATATTAACATAGAGGTGAAGGAAACGAAGTCAATGGTGTTTGGTGTTCTTTCACCTTGTAATACTATATATTACACGATACTAGTCCATTATTTTACTACCAAGTACGTAATTTCACTCAAGTTACCATTTTTGATCGCATCGAGAACATTTTTGCATTTCTATAATCATTATGAGTATGCGTAATTGTTGCAGAGTTCTGTTAGACGTACACTATAAAACTTTGTACAATTTTATAAGTTACAAGTTAAGAGGTAAAATAAACTAATGTTTTCAAAAATATGCCAACCTGTTGAATATGTAAGAAAACATTATGTCACACACTGGAACTTTCACTAACTGTTTATTTTTCTTAATTATTAACAAATTCACCACAACTATTTAGTTAATTGTAAGTTCAAACAATTATTTAACTGAAAATTTACTAATAATACAATTAAATATTGACTTGAGCTTGGTATTAGTTATTTAACTAAGGTAAAGCCGGCCACAGACGTAACTGTATACTTGCGCAACCTGCGACTTGTGCATGTATTCTCTAGCGTCTGTGGGGTGTTTTTTGCGCAACTTGACAGACTGGTGCAAGCGAGTAGGCATGAGCACTTTTTCATTATTTTAATTGCGCATTTATTCATGTCGGCAAGTTCATTCGTCGGCCGCGTGTGGCAGCACATATCCCGTTTTTATTTTACTTTGTAGCAAATTCATAATACAAGTTTATGAAGTTATCGACAATTAAAAGTTATTAAATTAGCCCTCTGAACACTTTGAATTCTCTTCTGATGCTGTAAATACATAAATTAATAAAAAAGATATATTTTTAGGTTATGTTTTGACATTTATTATTTGACATTTGTGATATGCTTGCGCAAGTACTTGAACATAAACTTGAACCGTCTGTGGGCGCTGTGAAAATACGCCTGGTTGCGCATTCATTCAGTTGCGCAAGTATACAGTTACGTCTGTGGCCGGCTTAACAATCATTCAATTATTTATTTCAACAAACAATTTATACGTTATTAAGTGTAATATAAACAATACTTGTTTATCAAAAGTATTTAATTCATTAAATCGTTTATTTTTCCGTTTTCAACAGTATCTACTACTCATTGGTGATGACAACGATAGCCATAGTCCTCTTTATGTTTACTATTACAACAACAAATAAAAACCAGTTTAATTATTGTAATTATATAAAATTGCATGTAATACAATAATTAAAGTTAATAAGAAGATGATCAACTTGCTGGTGTAGACCAGACGTTGTCAAGCAGGAAGAAAAGAAGATGTGGGAAAAATAGTAAATAGTGAAAGTCACCACAACTATTGATTGTGTGATTTTTGTCACAGGGATATTGATTTATCTATTGAAAATTATCTAACCAGTTTTATAATCAGATTGATTTATTGCAGATGTGCTTTAGCAATTGTTAAAAAGAAAACTGTATATTAGATAAATCGATCTTGCCAATTTTCAGTTCAGTTTTCTTTGTCAAATGAGATTAAAATTTTAGTCATTTTGCCCAACATAATTTCTACATATTTTCATTGCTTTTACCCATAGTTAGCAATCTGAATTTTGTATACCATAAGTCAATTTGGTAAATTTGTGTACCAAAGAACATCAATTTGGTAAATTCGTGCATCAGAAGTCACCAATTTGGTAAATTTGCATAACAGAAGCTCGTAATCTGGTAATTTTGAGCACCAGAGATAAACAATTTATACATTTGTGCAAAAGAATTTAGCAAGCTTATAATTTGTGCAACAGATGAAAGCAAATTGATATTTTTTATACGAGAAATACTGAAAATGAAATCTGATGCACTAGGAATCAGCAAAGTGGTAGTTCTGTGCACCAGGAGTTAGCAAACTAGGAATTCTTTTGAAAAATAATTAGCTTGCAAATTGTTTTATAAAAAATGTATATTCATCAATTTGTTTACCAAAAATAATGGATGTAGCAATGTTATTAACCAGTAAACATCAATCTGGATATTTTTGTCCGAAAAAAATTAAAGCTGGCAAAGTAGAAATAATCTATTGATTTGATGTAACAATTAGCACATATATAATTCAAGACACAAAACAGAAGATCATCCTTTATCAAAGAAAATCACATTTTAAGACACAAGACACAAAATCTTTTTAATTGACCAAATAATGATATTTTTCATATAACCCACATCAATGCACACACAATGCCACTAAAGGTACTAATTTACTTGTCCATGAAGCGGAGCGCCCAAAATTTGGGGCAACACTCAGCACCATCGAGGTCAGAGGCAATAAATAAAAATTAGAAAGTGAAGTGAGACATCTGTTACGACATCAATGTATTAAAATAAATACCATAATACCACGAGACCGCAAAGTAGTGTTCGTGTATTGAATGCACTTTGATTGAAATGCATCATGGAAAAAAATTAAATAAGTATACTTGTAGAAAAACCTGTAATTGACTAATTACCATCGACGTCGCATAAAAGTCTAAGAAGACGTCAGAAAATAATAATAAACATAAATCCAACACTTGCGGATTTGATGGAAGAAGAAAGTATCTGATGTTAAATGATAGGTACTTATCATTAGTAAAGTAATTTATAAAGGCAAATTTTATTTTGAGGAATCTTGATAGGTTAGACAACGTTATAGATGATTTGATTTTAAATCAAATTTTCTAATAAAACTCTTAATACTTTTTTTTAACAATTTTCATCTCTTGTTGCCCTTTATGAGTGTAAAGAGTAATTTACGATTTTTGATGTTAGACAAATTTGTTAAATATTCAATACATTACAATTTTGTTTAGCACATCATCTATGCATATCTAATCATCTAGAATTTAGAAACGAGATAAAGAATAATTGCACTTCCAGCACAGACATAAGAAATATTAAAATCACATATTCAACAAATTCATGAATAACCTTAAAGTTTTTAACTTTTAACAACAGTTGCAGTTTGCAACAGTTCAGAAATTAATCGTACTATATAAAGTTCACAAATTTAATCAAGTCCTATTCGACGGTCTTGTAATTTACGACTGAACTTCCTATTTGATAATTATTGAATCGCAAAATGAAAATATTCTAAATGAATATTTAATCGAAGAGGGAGTAAAGTACAAAGACAAAAACAATGCACTTGCCCTCCCTTCCCGTTGATCAATTAATTAATAATTAACTATGCATTATTATCATACTATATAAACATAAACAATGATGAGAGATCAATATATTGAAAATCAATATTTATTCAAAGACGATTTTAGAGTCTTTAGGGCCTTGTATAATTCCGCACTATAAACAGTACAGCGTCTAAAACCACATTTAATAAGTCCTTTATGTTACCTACATTGTCACCCCAAAAACCTTAAAGAGTCCAACAGCGTAACCCAAGTACGTCCTGAACAAAAAAATTGCTTGCTCCATCATTTTTTATCACCACCACCACTTCCACAAAAAGTCCTTGATCACAAAAAACTTCCATAAAACACCAAAAATTAGATTTTATTAACTTCTCTGGGGGATTGCTTAAGTCAAAATGTGAAAAACCAGGTATGGTCTCTTCCTTCAACCGAGTCCCCCACTTCCATGAATTGGTAGAAGAGTAAACAAGTAATGTGGAAATTTTTTTTGCATAATTTCGAAAAACAATTGGATTAAAATGACTAGTGATGGATGAAGGTGATTCGTATAAAATATGCAGAAATAATTTAAAAAAAATAAAAAGGAAGAAGTGCATTTTTAGACGGACTGGAATATCCGGTTCTTGCTTAGCGAGATTATTTTAAATTTTTTGCTAAACAAATAAATTCTCTTTTGGATAACTATCAATAAGCAGAAGAAGGAGGAGATACATGTTCTTGTACAGGTTTGTGAAAACTTATTACAGAAGTTCATAAAATATTAATTCAGGTCAGGGCTACATATTTACATAATCATAATTACATAAGAATTAGTCAACTTCGAAATCAGCTGAGAAGGATCTGATTGTTTTTGAGATTTTAAAGTATACTGAGTTAATGTATAGTGTAAATATATTAGACAATATTATAGATAATTTAATTTTGTATAACTTTTCCGAATACATCATTTAAATCGAAAGATATAAATGGTTTCTAACACAACTGACAAAGTCGACAAAAATACTCAAATGCGCCAGGATCAATGGCCTGATTGTGAGTTCAATGGCGATTTTAGAGTGTAGAGTATTTAGAGAGTTGCTACATAATGTAAGACAATATTATAAATCATTTAATTTTGTACAAATTTCGAATGCAGAATTCATATCAATCGAATGCTTCAAAAGTTGCAAGAAAATGAAAATTGCATCGTGTGGCTGTGCCTAATTTCTCTAAAGCAATATAGCGTAAAAGTTAAATTCATATTGAATATTAAGTATATATATTTTTATATTTAAAATATTATTATAAAGCGAGACTTTAGGCCTGTCCTTACAGTGTGAATCATATTGTCCTATACCCCAATTTTGGCCTAAAACTCTTTTTGGGTCTGGTTCCTTCCTAAGAATCGTTTTGAAGTGATTTCCTGTATGTATATATATGCCTAGAACATAGCTCTGGACGGATCAGAAACATGGACTCTGAGAAAGCCCACAAGAACTATCTGTAGAGTTTTGAATAATGGTGTTGGAGGCGAATGGAGAAGATAAAGTGGACTGACAAGGTAACAAATGAAGTCCTAAGAAAA